CGTTTCTCCTGTCCACTCGGAGGGAGAGAACTGCACAGTTCGCCCAATAAATCCTCCGAATCGGAGGCTGCTGTGGACAGCACGTCTTCATCATACGGCATACAACCGAAAGACATCGCATCGCAAGCTTCCGGGGTAGGCCGCAAATTGAGCGATGACGTCATCGCAGCATCGAAGTGAGCCTATGAGAGGGAACTTTGTTTTGGTTGTGCTTTGGCTCTGCTTGTCTGTGCGGATGAATGATATGACGTGATACTCGCCAATGAATGACGCATGCAATTTCCCGCGAAATCCGCCCCGCCAGTTCTAAAACACAAAATATTATAGGTTCAAGGTGTATTTGGTTAAAGACATGGTTTAGAAGATGGATTTTTGCTTTTTTTTTTTGTTTGTTTGTTTTTTTTCAAAATATTCAAAATATTTTCAAAACTGTTACATAGTTTACAAGTGTCCAGATAAGTGACCAGTGTATTGTTGCCAAAATGGATGAGATTATTATATGATATATCATTTGAAATGAGTCAATTAAGGCGGAGCTATCAAAATAGGGGCAAGACCCTTTTGGTGTAGGGGCGTATTTGTTTTGATGATTTCAAATATCAACATTAGCTACCAGAAATCACTTACTCTGCCTTTAACAGAAGGTATTAGCCTTAACAGACTAATTTATGTGTTATTTAGGAATTCTTAGATTTCAATCTGCCCACCGTAGATGAGATATGAGACCTCTAAATAAATGCAAAGTATAACAGGATAAAGATCATTAATTGTAGGCCTATGTGCTTTCTCAGTTATCAAATCATCTAACAATATTGTATGCATGTTCAGAGATACTGAGAAAGGGTCAGACTGTCATCATTCTGTGAAGAAGTTAAAAAGTCATTACAAATACAATGCAAAAGAAGTCATAAACTCATATGTACTTACCTGTAATATGTACAGCTGAGCTCATGGAGGGCAAATGTTGCCTTATCCATTGCATTCTGAGATTGGGCAAATTTATTTAGGAATTCTTAGATTTCAATCTGCCCACCGTAGATGAGATATGAGACCTCTAAATAAATGCAAAGTATAACAGGATAAAGATCATTAATTGTATGCCTATGTGCTTTCTCAGTTATCAAATCATCTAACAATATTGTATGCATGTTCAGAGATACAAATTTATCAAATTTAGCAATATCTGAACGGCTCCCTCCAAAAATTGCCTTTCCTATGTCATCCAGGCTAAGGTCCATTTCCCAGTTGTTATTGATGAGTGACGTTGAACTCTTCATTAGGGAGTCGACAGAATGATGAAGAGCACTAGAAAGCTGTTTGCTGCAGCGGCTGAAGGGACGCCAGTCCAGCACAGCTGAGGGAAGTTTCTGTATCTGCCCTCCCTGAAAGCGGTTCTTGCAGACTGTACAAGTACCATTATCCATGTGTGACTTGACATTGATCAAAAAGGCACCTTTACGGCGCATCCTGACAACATCAAATCCTTCGCCCGCCAGGTTGTAACCAGGTACAAATGGGGCTTTCTCACATTCTACCTGAGAGCCTGTATGACAAGCTGAACCCTTATGCCAGTGTGTCAAGATCAGAGAAATGCAGAAAAACACGTGGAAAACACAGTGATTTGTCTCCATTATGATGTCTAAAGAGAAAATGCAGAGCGTTCAAATGCTAATATTTCATTATTTCTAAGATGGAAAAACATTTTTGAGGCAATATACATGCAAAGTTTAAATAATAATAATAATCATAATAATGTAAGAATATTATTGTAAAAATAGCATAATCAAAGTCCAGAATGCAGTTTAGTTTGTATTATTTGTGGCATCGAAATCTGCTTTAAATATCTTATCTGTTAAAAAAAACATCAGCTCACCAAGTTCAGTTTTACCTACCAAGAGTAGCTTTCATGCAGCAGTCTGTTCCAGCTGTGTTATAGCCTACCACCATATTGACCTACTTCAGAAAAATCCTTTTCTCTGTTCTTCTTTCCAAATCACAGTTTCTTCATGAAATGTTTTAGCTGTGGAGTCACTTTCTGGAATGCTAATGCTAAAAAGGCGCACTGTAAAGACTGAGTCTGTGGCATTTGTCGAAGGGAGTGTCTTCCTGTCAGCCCTATTCTTCTGTGCTGGACAGATTTCATCCGCTGACTGGGTTTGTTTCGTTTTTTTTTTTTTTTTTTTGTGAATACCAGCTTTGCGGTGCGGGAAGGTTCTCATGAGACTTCGCATAAGGGAAGATAAAGTGCAAGGTCAAGATTAATCAAACAGGACATGTGGATGACAAAATTTAGCATATTCCTTTTTACTTGCAGTTGCATGTAAGACAATGTATATTATGAAATGAAAATCATAGGCCTACTCATTAGCACATTGCATGGGAAAGATTTTGGATATATGGAAACACACTCATGTTTTTATTTATTTATTTATTTATTTTAGTATATAAATGTTATGGCGGAAAATGCCCAATTTAACATTACAACAGTCCATGTAAATGCCTGGAAAAAAAACTATAACGATGAATTAAATAAATTTTAATGTCAAACAGAAAGGTGTTAGTTGGGATTTTTCAGTCAGTGCGGTTACATCATTACACCAGTAGGTGTCATCAATGGATTTGTTTTTGTTGTTTATTATGAGTGAGTCAACGAATCAATTTGTTCAAAAAGATTCATTAATATTGAGGAACGGATTAGAGTGTTGTGCAAGAGTCGAAGACACTCGATGGTCGACTATTTCCGTTGGCGGAAAAAAAGACAAAGTAGGCTAGCCGTCACTTTTCTGTAAAATGTAAGTTACTTTTTACTTTTTTCGCGTGTTTTTCTGAAGGACTAGAAAACTGCGACTGATTTGCCTTCAAACGAAGCTCATGCTGCTATTTAGCCTAGCTTGCTGTGCACAAAGTTGATGGTTTACATTTATCCGTCTCTCTATTTAAATAGCCATAAAGTAAGTGGAATAGTGACAGACAGTTGGCGTTTCACTGATCTAGGTTCAATTCATAATTAAAAAATAGGTTATTGTGTGCCTAAGTAGTACATTTTCCCGCAATAATAATTTTTAGGATTTTCTTCTGTGAGATATCCTGTCCAGCAGTTCTGTACATAAGGGTGACATATGTGACTCGTGTAATAATAATACATTATTATTATTGTTATTATTATTATAACAATAATATTTTGATGTTTAATAATATTTTTGTTTTAAATTGTAGCCTATTTTTTGTGGGGTCATATAATGTAGCCTGTTATCCACTGTTCATTTCTACTCGCTGGTTTGGTTGTTCACTGTGTTTGAAAACTTGTGACTTACGAGAAGTTGAGATGATACTAGAATTCAATACAAAAACTTGTTAAATGGAAGTAGTTACATTCAGCTATAAGCCTATATTAGGTAGATGAACAGGTAGGCTAGATGAGTGACTTTTCTTAATTCCTGTTATTTTGTGTGTGGGTGAGATGAAATAAGACTTAGAAGACATTACATCTTTGAATAATGCCTGTTGTCCAGATCAACACTATTTAACTGATTACTGTGGGCCAGGGGTGTCAAACTTAGTTCCTGGAGGGCCGGAGCCCTGCAGAGTTTAGTTCCAGCCCTGCTCCAGTATTCATACCTTGTACTTTTCATATAAGCCTGAATGACTTGATTAGTTAGATCAGGTGTGTTTAATTAGGGTTAAATCTAAACTCTGTAGGGCTCCGGCCCTCCAGGAACTGAGTTTGACACCCCTGCTCTGGGCAAACAATAGCAGTGCTATCACGTGCTTTCATGTCATGCAAAAGCAAGTCAGAGCAGGTAGTTGGCACCATCTTGAGTATGAAAGAACCTAATGCTGCGTTCAAGTCCTCCTGGGACGTTCGTACTTACGAGTTGACAAGTCGTAATTACGACGTCAGGTGCGTTCAAGTCAGTTTAGTCGGCACAAGATGGCGGTGTACCTTCTTTTAATAAATTACAAGAAAATACAACAGGGTCTGTTAACTCTGCTTATAGAAAATGAAGAGCAAAGAATTCACATCAGGTGTGTTTTGCGTTTTTAATATTTTTTTTAGACCAGGATCCCAGTATAACTGATTTTCAGCATCAACAAATGCTACAGAGATTTAAAAAAGCTGTTAGCTAAATGCAACATGCAACATGGCAAATCAAAAGATTTTTCACCTATAGGTGCAAAAATGATAGCATTTTTTTTACTTGGATTTCATTAACTAGCTGCGTAACAAGAACATGACCAATTTAAGTTTATAGGACAACTAAACTATCAATTTAAACAAAAATTTACCGTCAACTACAGACGTGGCATCCATCAGTTCCGCCATGTTTCTCATTGACACGCCCCCAACTCGGAAACTCGGGGTTTAAAGAAAATTTAGAGTTTCCCACTCGTAATAACGACTTTGTGGTGGCGTTCATGTGCGTTCAACTCGTAAATACGATCTATCCGACATGACTTGAATGCACCATAAGATAGAGGAAGACAATTAACTGGGATTCGGAGATTAATAATGATATTCTTATGTTGTTACAGTGTTTGTCTTGTAGTTCCTACCAAGAAAGCAACCAGTACAATTATAAATTTAGTCATTTAAACTCACCAGGGGCCTCATGTATAAAACTTTATGTAGATTTCATCCTAAAAGTGTACGTACGCACAAAAGCTAGATTTTGCGTACGCACAAAAGTTTTTAGATTTATAATACGCCAGAACCTGCACAAAAATCCCATTATAAATCCCAGTGAGGGGAAGATTGTGCATATGTGCATCTCCACACCGTCTCCTCCCCGAGATAACCATATATGGAGCTTACAACGCCTAGTTTTATGATGCATAACCTCATCTGCAAATCATTTCCATGCATATTCCCATCCACACCATGTTTAATACCGTCAAAGGTACAATTAAGACATTAAGGAAATATGAGATACGGACTATAAATGCCATTTGTGCCATACACATTAATCTTTATTGCTAAAAAATCATCCAGTATCCTTATGTTTTAGAATAAATATATCAAACTATCCATAAAAAAACTGTTTAAAATAGTTCTCAGAATAATAATTTAGAATAGAGTTGATCTCATTTATTTCCACTGGTCCAATAATATTTCAATTAAAAAATCTAATTAAATTAAATTACTGCAGTTTTGCTGATAAGGTGAACATCTTTTAGCTATATAGTGGAAAAATATAGGCCTATATTGATTGCAGTGTAAATACAATTATCTGACTCTACGCGTCATTGACAACTTATTTTAAAAAGGAAACGTGCAAATCTTACCATTTTATTCAAGTTGTATCCTTCAAATACAGTGGTATTTTTCATAATGTTGTGGATATGCCTTCACACGACATCAACACTTCCGTGCAGCTGTGGTTGTACAGCAGTGGCGTGCGGTGGTGTTTTAAAATGAGGAGGCAGTTATATATACTGTATGTATGTGTGTGTGTATATATATATATATATATAATTCGTGTCCTTGTTACACTTAATGTTTACACTAAGTGCAAATAGCTATAGATTCTATTTACACCTAGCAGGATTTTCTGCTATTTATACTACTTATTGCAGATAGTGGCAATTATCTGCACCCCAGTATTGTAGTACATTATAAAACAGTATGCAGTAATAACAATAACAACGACGTGATATCTGATTTGAAAAAGTAGAAGAAAAAAAAGTTCTGCAAAACGCGATTTGAACCCCGGTCGATCGTGTCAAAAACGACTTCAACGTGTACTTTACCATCTGTGCCACTGGAGCTAATTTCATCAAGCTGAATGCTCACTAAAAACTGACACAGTCATCACGTCAAGTAATTTCATTTTTCATTTTGATGTGACACAAAGCAGTGATATCTAAGCAGGAGAGTTGTTTGCTTACTTTATAATTAGTCAATAACGCCATCATTTAATTCATTCAGGCCGAGAGCTTGCATGAAAACAAGAGGCGGGATTTATCACACGAACCAATCACATCCAATCATAACCGATCATATCCAATTATAGCGCGACGGAGGCATTGCCTCCTCTCACGTGACTTTAGCCCATTCATCTCAATGAGCCTCCAGAAAAGTCACGGCACGCTTTAGGTATGGGATCATATTCCCGCCAAATGTATTGCAGTCACGGATAAAAAAATAACAAGCGTGAAACCAAAATTTCAAAACG